AAGCAGATCATGACCTCGGATGCAAAAACCTAGTAGAGCACAGAATAAACACAGGCAATCACCGTCCAATAAAAATCCCTCCAAGGAGAATAGTTCCAGCAAAGACGACAAGAAATATAAAAAGGTCATGGGTGATCTCATTAAGGAAGGGATAGTTGAAAAATCAGATAGTCCCTGGTCAGCTCCCGTCGTGTTAGTCCAAAAGAAGGATGGGACTTAACGTTGCTGTGTGGACTTCAGGGCTCTTAACAGTATAACCGAAAAAGATTCATACCCACTGCCAAGAATTGATGATACTCTTGATGCCCTAAGTGGAGCCAGGTGGTTTTCAACTCTGGACTTAAAGTCAGGTTTCCATCAAGTAAAAATGACTGAAGCAGATAGACCTAAGACAGCATTTAGTTATGGCCAAGGTCTCTGGCAATACCGAGTGATGCCATTTGGGCTTAGTCTTTCTGGAACAAGTGGCATTTCTTGGGATGGAGTTTGAGATTTGCTGCTTTCAAACGCTTGAATACTTCCTCTAGCCGGGACATTTCCTCATCAAAAGTTGTTGCAAATACAATGACATCGTCCAGGTACACCAGGGCTATCCTCCATTGTAGGCCTTCCAATACTCTTTCCATCAGCCTCTCAAATGTTGCTGGAGCATCATGTGCTTTACTTAGGGCATATTGTAAGTGAGCATGGTGTGCAAACTGATCCTGATAAGGTGAAAGTAGTGCATGATTGGTCAACACCAGACAATGTGGGAGAGTTAAGAAGTTTCTTGGGATTCTGTACCTATTACCAGAAGTTTGTGAAGGACTTTGCAACTATAGCTGCTCCACTGCATGATTTGACTAAAAAAGGCCAGAAGTTCGAATGGACAGTTTCTTGGCAGCATTCTTTCAAGACATTGAAAGAAAATTTGGCCTCTGCTCCACTTTTAAAGCTTCCAGATCCCTCACTGCCGTACATACTGGACTGTGATGCTAGTAATGTCAGAATTGGAGGAGTGTTGTCTCAGAAAGTGGGCGAAAACGAACATATGGTGGCCTACTTCAGTAGGGTTTTGAGTAGACCAGAGAGAAACTACTATGTAACACGGAGGGAACTCCTTGCTATAGTAAAGTGTCTGACAAATTTCCATCCCTACCCCTATGGTGCAAGGTTTACCATCAGGACACACCATGCTGCGTTACGCTGGTTAAGATCATTAAAGAACCCAGAGGGACAACTTGCACGTTGGATCGGAAAAATAGACCAGTAAAATTATAATATTGAATATAGAGAAGGAAAATCTCATGGTAATGCCAATGGACTGAGCCGAAGACACTGCAAAAATGACTGCAGACATTGCTGCAAGAGAGAGGTTGAGCTAACCAGGTGTCATCAAGCTGAAGTCAAGGTGACTGAAAGAGTTGATGATGGTGAAGTGGAACCAGGTATAGATAGTAAAGCAGAACAAGAGAAAGACCAAGATTTGAAGCCAATAATCGATTTTCTAAAATCAAGTGTTTTGTGCCCTGCTTAGGAGAAGGTGTCTAGCTTAAGCCCTGTGACAAAGAACTATTGGTCAGAATGGGACCAGTTGAAGCTTGAAGATGGTATTCTTCTCTGGAGATGGGAAACTGCAGATGGGAAAGTGATGACCTGGCAAACGATTATACCGAGAAAGTTACGGAAAGTTGTGCTGCATCAGTCCCATGATAGTTTAACAGGAGGACATCTCAGAGTTAAGAAGACACTGAGTCACCTACGACAGAGATTTTACTGGGTAGGTATGAGGCAAGATGTGGAAGAATGGTGCAGGACCTGCAGTACATGTTGTGCTAAAAGGGGACCCAAGCATAAGGGACGTGCTCCAATGAAGTTATATCAAGTTCACACACCAATGGAAAGAGTAGCAATTGACATTACTGGTCCTCTGCCCCAAACTCGTGCTGGAAACAAATACATTTGTGTGGTGATGGATTATTTCACCAAGTGGCCTGAGGCATATGCAATACCAAATCAGGAAGCTACAACTGTAGCTTCGGCTATTAGTGATTTCTTCTTCAGATTTGGTATGCCATATGAACTGCATTCAGATCAAGGCCGTAACTTCAAATCAGCTGTGTTCTAAGAATGCTGCAAGTTGTTTGGCATCCGAAAGTCCAGGACAACACCACTTCATCCACAGTCCGATGGGATGGTAGAAAAGTACAACTGGACACTGGGACAGGAATTGGCAAAGTTTTGTAATAGCCGCCATGATGACTAAGATGTCTTACTCCCTCCACTGTTGATGGCCTATAAGACAGCAGAGCATGAACCCACTGGATACACTTCAGAAAAGTTGATGTTTGGTCGGAAACTTCGGGTTGCCAGTGGATCTGTTAACAGGACGCCCACCTAATGAAGAGTTGCCTGAGAATGTGTCAGAGTTTGTGAAAGTGTTATCGGAAAGGATGGATGATATTCACCATCAAGTGCGTTTAAACTTGAAAACGTCTGCTGATTCGATGAAGTTATCTTATGATAAGAGATCTACTGAAGTCAGCTTTGCACCAGGAGACAAGGTGTCTTTGTATAATCCCAGGAAGATCAAAGGGAAGTCTCCTAAGTTGTCTTCTCCATGGGAAGGCCCATATGACATAGTGGATCGTCTCTCAGACGTTACTTTCCGGATAAAATGTGGTCGGCGAGGTAAGCCAAAGGTGGTGCATGCCAAGAGGCTTTGGTGTTATCACGGTCCTGGACATTTCAGTTGGGATGAAGTGAACAACGGAACAAATGGTGCTGCTGAAGGCGTGTCACCTGAAAAAACCACCGTCGAAGAAGGAACTCTACTCGGTTTTGAGAAGGGAAACAGCGAAGCTCTTGATGAAGTTACTACCACTGATGTGACTGCTACCGATAATGGGACATTTCCTGATGGAGCAGAAGCCAATGAGATGGAGACCAGTATGGAAGAAGATACTTCCTGTAAAATTAAGAGACTTTGTTGTATTTTAATTTTGTGTTTGTAAATTCTGTACATTTAATTAAGTTATTGTTAATTATCTATCGGTTTAATGTAAGCGGCTATTGTTTGGGATGAACAATACTAAGGAAGGGGTAGTGTTACAACAGCGGAAATCTCGTGGCACTGGGAGGATGCGTGCTGGAGTTTCTAGAATTATCAGGGAACCCCGTGAATGTCCAAGTGTTTGCTAGATGCCCTCTTTTTTAGTATATAAGCCTGGTGAGAAAAACCACCACAATGGCAGAGATAGATAGATTGGGAGATAGATAATTGAGTCAAGCAAACAGTAGGCACTGTGATTTATAGCGTGTGTTATAAAAGTTGTTAAGTGTATTACAAAGCTTGTAGCGAGAAAGAATAAACTAGTTTTAATCAAGAAAGGATTTGTATCGCTGAAGTTTCTCGGGAAATTAACAAACAAGCAGATACGCAACAATACTATATCTGAAAAAGTAATCTCTAATGTTTCAAAAATGAGATTTTATGAACTAGTAAAGAAATATATCTGTATCATTTTCTACAACTCTTTGTAATGCCCAAATTATTAGGGATGTCACTGTTGTTTCTTTCTTGTTGCATGTTTGTTATTAAAGTCGTTACTGTACTAGAAAATCCTGTTGTGAGGGTTTACCAATACTTATTCAACTTTCATTTTAATCTGTTTTATTTTATCTAGTGAGTTTTAAGATAATGTTTGGAACAGTTTATTGGTTTTGGGGAACTTTTTTTGTAAATTATCCTACATTTCCCTAATGAAAAATGCGTAAATGTAGTAGGGTGTATGTTTAATGTGTCAATATGTTATTAAACATTTACTTTGGTGAAAAAGCCTAAGAAGAAAATCCTTGGCAATTTGCAACAGAAAAAAGGGATATGTAGATGTTTCTTGTGATAGAAACATGGCTTTGAATTTTATGTAGGCTCAATTTTAGTTATAAGAACCTTAACTTGTTTATTTGTCTTAAAAAAATATTTTTTTTACTATAAACAAAAGAGTTGTGGATAAGTTTATGAAGTTTTTTTCTTTGTTAATATAAAAAGACATCATGGATTGACAGATATTATAGCTTTTTAAAGGTAAACTAGTTTCAGGTACAATCCAAATTGACATCTGTAGATTTGAGCATTGGTTTGTTGTACCACCTAAGTTGATACTTGTAGGCTTAAACATATAAGCATTTTACTTTGTGTTTGGTGATCTTGACAGAAAGTCTGGTCTGCCCATCGTGGACAATATGTAGATTCTTGGCAGTCATCTGTTTGTGGAGCTATTGCAGGTAAATTCTACATCAGTTATTATTTTATTTTAAAAAAATTTTATGTAACAAATTTAAGTATGAAATACTTAAGTGAAATTAATTTTTTTGCAAGCAGAGTGCCATCATATGATGGGAAATAATGATTAATTTTTATTCTAAAAATTATATCTAAATAAATGTTTTATGAATATGGTTTCTAAAAATTAATTATAATCTATTAGCAATATATGCATGGGTAATGACTATCCTATTTCTAGTATTTCACAAAAACAACATTTTTTATGTATATTTGGTCATCTCCTTTAAGTATTGCTTCATTATCATTTTGATTTCTGTATATATTTTTATGTTCAAATGTTCTTCTTGATAAATCCTTGTAAATTGAAACATATGAAAAACTGATTCTCAAAGACATATTCCTACTTGATCAACTGTATAACCCTGCAAATTTATTAATTGTGATGGTAAAGGCAGTGAATTTTATTATGAATTTAGGGGTCTTCTCTTTGGACTGTCTTCCTGGTTTTGGCTTTGTTAGCCTACTGAGTTGAAGAAGTGCACTTTAATTTGGGCATTTGCAAAATTGAAATGTGCTGCTGGTAAAACATGTGGGTTATTATAGAATTGTAGCTGAGGGTTCCAATTGGACAAAATTTGATGATGTTGTGTCAATGTGTCAATGAAGAAAATGTAATGGGGAATTTCAGTCAATGATTATGATTTTTGAGCAATACCAAGTGTGGGGCATGTGCATACCTGATTTGATTTTATTACTCATCACAATCTCTACCAACCTACCCTCAAATCAAATTATATGCCCAAAGTAGCACATCATTCACCTTATATGTATGTATATACAGTAGCAGCTTATGATCTTTGAGGCAGGTGGGACAAATGTAAAATTTAGAGGCTGATTTCAATTTTTTATAATTTTAGAAGTATTATATATGTATATATATCTAGAGAGTGTGATGTATCATAGTTTATTCATATACAAATAATATTATGAAAATTCATGGACCTTGTATTAGGAAAAAACAATTTTTAATGTTGAACTTTTTGAATAAGGTTACCTTGAACATCTACTTGTAAATATATTCACCCTTCTATTTTTTTTTGTGTGGCAAAAAGGTCAGTAACCTTAGTGATAAACTGTGGAATGCTCTTGTTTAGTTCTCTATGAATGGACAAAATGGCAAGTGTATTCAATCTGTCCTGAAACTCTGAATTCTGGAGAAAAGGAAAAGTTTTAATTATCTTGAGAGTGCTGAAGCATTACTCCAATTTTGCTGTGGCTACTGGAGTTACAAGTACAATTTCTAACATTTTCAAAGTTTTGGGAAATGTGTTGACTAGTCCTTTGTTGTTAAAAAAGGTAAATGGTCATTGAGGGTTTTTCAAGTGCCTGAAGGATTCATTAGGGGAGAGAATTTTTAGTTCTCTCCAAAGGTTTTCTTTAGTAATCATGTTGTAGTATTATGAAGTAGTGCTTAGACCAGTGGTCGGCAACTTTTTTTGATCGCGGGTCAATTACTTTTTTTGTTGAAAAATTTAGCGTTGTG